AAAATTTATATAGAATCACAAAAGATCCCAGAGAGTCAAAGCAGTCCTGAGCACAAAGACCAACACTGAGGAAATTACCATATCTGACCTCAAAATATAATACAGAGTTATAGTCACAAAAACATCATGGTACTGGCACAAAAACAGGCACATAGATCAATGGAATACTACTGAAGATCCAAACATGAGTGCATACAATTTTAGCCACCTGATATTCGACAAACATGTCATGAACTTCCACTGGAGGAATGACAGGATCTTCAAGAAATGGTGCTGGCAAAACTGGATCTCCAACTGTAGAAGAGTGAAACAAGACCCTTATCTTTCACCTTGCATAAAAGTCAACTCCAAAAGAATCAAAGATCAAAGATAACAGTATGAAACCTGAAACTCTGAAATAGAATAAATCGTAGGAAGTACCCTCCAAGATAAAAGTTCAGGAAAGGACTTTCTAAATCAGACATCAGTTGCTAAGGTATTAAGGTCAACAATCAACAAGTGGGACCTCATTAGACTGAAAATCTCTGAACAACAAAAGAAACAACGAAGGAAATGAAGAGAAAATGCAAAGAGTGGGAGAAAATCTTTACCAGTGACACATCTGACAGAGGTTTAATATTCAGAATATATAAAGAACTCAAAAAAAAAAGAATCAAGAAAACAAATGACCAATTAAAAGATGATCTATGAATCTGAACATAAAGTTCTCAGTAGGAGAAGTAAAGATGGCTAAGAAACACCTTAAAAAGTGTTCAACATTCTTAGCAATTAAAACCAATTAAATGCAAATTAAAACCAATTTAAGATTTCATCTTGCCCCAGGTAAACTGACTAAAATCAAGAGAACAAATGATACCAAATGCTGGATAGGCTGTGGGGAAGGAGGAATGCTCTTTCACTGCTGGAAGGATTTCAAACTTGTCCAATCAATATGGAAAGCAGTGTGGAAAATTTTTTATTTTTATTTTATTTTATGTGTATGAGTGTATTGCCTACATACATTTAATTATATCCATGTTGTGCAATACCCACCAAAATTAGATCCTCTAGAACTGGAGTTACTGATGGTTGTTAGCCGCCATGTGGGTGCTGGGAACTGAACCTGGGACCTGTGCAAGAATAATCAGTGCTCTTAACCACAGAGCCATCCCTCCAGCCCTGGAGAAATCTTAAAAAACTGAAAATGAACCTATCATATGATCTGATTATACCACTCTTTGGTACATTCATGTTTGTCGCTGCTCTTTTTGTAATAGCTAAGAAATGGAAGTGACCTAAGTATCCCTCAACAGAGGAATGGATAATGAAAATGTGGTACATTACACAATGGAGTTTTAGTGGTAAAGAAAGGCAAACTCATGACATTTGCAGGTAAATAGATGTAACTCAAAACTGTTATACTGAACAAGTGAAGCAACATAGACTCAGAAAAGCAAATGATGCATGTTCTCCCTCATTTATGGATCCAAGCACCAAATCCTTATATACAAATACACCAGTCACCACACATCAAATAGGTATCTTTTGTTACTGATGGCAACTATTAGTGCCCAAACTGGTCACATACAGAGAGAAAGTGTCTGTGAAATGCCCATCCCTAAGTGACACATCTGCAATGGACCCTCTACACCTAAAGCTCACAGAACATAGTCAAAAAAGGGGTAGAGAGAATACTAATGCATTTTTTCAACTCTCGTCAATGAAGCACCCTCATGCAACAGAGGGCAATGAACACAAAAGGCCACAAATGGCCAAAGCTTTGAAAATGAAAGTCTGAAGAGTGTGGTTCCTTGGCAGGACTCCTGCATTAAAGTCCACCCACCCAGAGCTCAGGGACTACCGCAAAAGAGGGGGCAGAAAGATGGTAAAAGTCAGGGGAGGAGGTGCATGACCATATGGAAACAGAATCTTACAGGCTCCTGGGACCTTGCTCACGTGAACACACAGCAATAGTGCCAGGATACACAAGACCCATGCAAACTCAAGTAGACAAAAACCCAGCATAGAACTGGGGAAATGTTCAGCATGCCCCAGTCATAGCTTATTACTGCTGGGTGAGGGAGAGCTGATCTTTAAGGGAGTGACTTTAGCTAGGCTGACTAGACCTCAGTGGATGAACTTGCACTGCAGGACATGTGGGTCTGATCTGGTGGAGGAACTGTAAAACATGTGGTGGGGGAGGGAGTATAACGAAAATTAAGATGTTTTGTATAAAATACACAAAAAAAATCAATAAAAATATATACTTTAAAATAATTTAATCTCAGCACTCGGGTAGCAGAGGCAGGCAGATCTCTGTGAGTTCAAGACCAGCCTGGTACACATAGTGAGTTCCAGGACAGCTGGCGCTACAGGGAGACCCTGTCTCAAAAAGAACAATAATAATAATAATTATTATAATTATAATTTTTAAAGGAAAAGTAATACAATCATGTTTATATCTTCTTATGTTATCTCTGTTTACATCAGGCTTCACAGCAATTAGGAAGACAGCTACGTGGTACAATTTTAGGAGACTGAGAATAGGGACTGCATGCTCTTCTCCTGATTTAAATAAAAAGAAATACTTAGTATTAGAAATGTAGCTACAGGGCTGGAGAGGTTTCTCAGCAGTTAAGGCACTGACTGCTCTTGCAGAGGACCCAGGTTCACTTCCCAGCACCCATACGGGGGCTAACAACAATCTGTAACTCCAGTTCCAGGGTATCAAACACCATCTTTTGGCCTCTGCTGGCATTGCACTACATGGATGTACTTAACATATATGGAGGCAAAATAGTCATGTACATAAAATATAAATAAATAAGTAAATAATTAAGTAAATAAATAAAATTTTAAAAAGAAATGTGGGTAATAAGTAATCTGGAGAAACAGTATGGATTTTTTTAAAATTAAATTTAAATCTTTTTGAGTGCTAGGGATTGAAGATCCTTGCACCTGCTATAAGAAGTGGTCTACCACTGAGCCCCAACTTCAACCCTGATAAGCTAACATTCATACAATGAATGAAACATGAAACAAAGTAGATGATGTTGTAGTACTAGAAATATAAACAAATGAATACAGAAAGTCTTAAAATGGGAGAATTGTCATATCCAAGGAAATAATGCAAAACAGATCACTGAGAGAGGCCTTCAAAGACTGCAGGTGAAGCAAATCACCAGGAATGGGCAGCAGTCACATGCTGCGAGATGCTCATTCCAGGATAATAAAATGAGATATACAGCACAAAACCACCTTTTCCAAAGACAATTCACAAAATAACACACTTGTTTGAAGTGTATATGTGCCTCTGAGTGTGTCCATAAACACACACTTCCCTTCATGTCCCTCCAGGGCAGTGTCATTCATCTAAGTCCTGGATACATTTATTCAAGGAGAAGTCAAAAGAACAAAAATAGACATGAAAATAAAGGATGTAAAAGAAGGAGAAATATAATTCAAACTAAAGAGTTGTCATTTTTAATCACTCAGATTGTGAAGTAAGAAAATCAGAAACAAAGTGTAGAAATCAATATTCGGATACACACTTGTCAGGCGTAAACTTGAGAAGCCATTTTGGAAAACGATTTGTCATCCTCTGCTAAAACTTATTTGTACTTCAAAGCAAATTTCTACATCCACAATTCTATACCAGAAGAGCACAAAGATATTTTTACTGGAATATGGCTCCTGGCAAAATTGAAACCAACCTAAAGCCTTAAATAAGGAAACAGCAAAAAAATAAATTATGACATATTCATTGGAGGAGACTGACTCAGTCAGCCTTAAGAGCCATATTTATGGAAAGAAGTAAATTGGTACCACAAAATTCCACTCAAAAATTCTGTAAAGAAACAAAATTATTACTGTGGATAATTTTGAAGATGCTTTCTTTTTTAACTTAATTCACATTTTAGTAATGTAGTTAATATATTACATCTGCTGTTCAACATAAAATAATTTTAAAGACTAAAAACACTTGAAACAATTTAAAATATTGGATGATGAAGCATAAGTAGATAGTATTAAAATGAAAAACTATAATAGGTAATAAGTATGAATTCTAAAAAGAGAAGCATAAAAGTAAAAGATATGTAAAAGAAATTTTATAGCAGGAACACGATACAAGTAACTGTCAAATGATGTGGGAAAAGGGCAGAAAGACAGGGTGCAGGAGAAGGCAGAGACAGCAGGAAGGATGATGGACCTGAGAGCATGACAGGAGAGCTGTTGTCGCTAGCAGACTGAGGAGCTGGATTCTGCAGTCATTTTCAATGATTTATGACTCTACAATCACCTGACGAATGTTTAAAAATAGCAGTGACCTGAGGCAATCTAATGCAGCCTTGGCTTTCAGAAGCAGTGTCCATCTGAAGACAATGTAAATGTACTGGACAACAGAAATCTAACCAGGGTTGTACATGTGCTGAGCATCAGGTGCTGATTCAGCACAATGTGCATATAATCTCATTTTATGAGCACATATAAGTTCACATGAGCAAAAGCACCTCTATATCAGATATTGCCTGCTAATGAATTTAGCTCAAGGTCATCTATTTCATGGGAAAAAAAATTATGAAAACTCACCAACATTTTAAGTCAAATAAATTTATTATTTAGGATCCATAAATAATCAGCCTACTTTTCTGCCCTTTTTCCCTGAGCACAGTAAGTTATTAAAGTATTTTTAACCTAGACTGGCATTGTCAACACTCTCAGCTAAATGATAGGAATTAGACAAAGGCTGTTAGGAGTCAGAAGGTAGATCTGAGTGGCAACCATCCCAATACTGCAGAATATAAAAAGTAGACACTGCCAACTCCCCTTTTTAGCAGGAGAGACTATGAAATAGTAATTACCTGCATTTTCTATTGAAAGGGAATAAAACTCAACTTGACAACTGCATTTTAAAAGCACTCAAAAGAGCAGCAAGGTACAAATTTTCTGTAAAAACTGCAGACCTTCATTAGTCATCTAATGACAAGTGAAAGGAAAATGTGAAGACAGAGATCACCCACCTCATTTTGGTATCTTGCTGCATTCAATTCAATGAAATCTTCACTGTAGTTGACTGAGAAGTTGAGAGCATTCACCAAATGGGCAGCCACATGCACACCTACAAAGTCACAACAGATCAAATCAGTGAGAAAAGTCTGCTGCTCTCCACAAATAAAAAAGCATCGAACGTCAACAGTTACATGAACAGTAAAATATTAGATTAAACCAATTCTAAACTACAAAATGAAATTCAATTCAACATCATCAGTTTACTAATTTTTCAAAGGCCATAGTAAAATAATCATGGTACTTCAAATTAAGAACTAGAACTACTGGGTTAGAGAGGTGGATCAGTGATTAAGAGCATTGACTGCTATTGCAGAGGACTCAGGTTAGATTCCCAGCACCAGCATGTGGCTAAAAATGATCTATAACTCCAGTTCCAGGGGATCCCACACTGTCTTCTGACCTCTGTGTGCATGGCATGACATGGGTACACCTACCTACATGCAGACAATACACACATACACAGAAAAGAAAAATAATAAATAAGAAAAGGATTTAATAAAACAACTAGAACTAAGGCATTCATATGCAACACCTCACACATAAACTCACAAATTCACATTCTGTTCCTCAACAAGGGATGGGTATTTTTACTAAATTGTCTCCTGGATATTTTTGCATTCCACAGCTTTCATTTCTTCCATTGATTCCAACCTACTCTAATATGCTTCAATGTCATGAAACCCCAAGTATTAGCCTACTAAATGATTTTTAACCAATTGAAATGTTTACAATCAAAAGAAAATTCTATAAACTCAGCAGCAAAATGTTGGGAAGCAATTTGTGGAAGAAAAATTCAGGAAAAGAGTGATTTTGGTTTGATAAATAACAGAGTTAAAATAGCTCTGGCATCACAGTGCTCAGCTGACTCAGAGCTCAAATGAAAGATTAAAGTATTGGGGAGTTACTAGAGATCTGAAGCAACTCATTTTGGCATAGATGGGAAAAAGGAAATTATTTTGAAGAAGTGAAGAAGAGGAAAAAAATAACCTGTGCCACTCCCTGCCACGTCCTCCTCTTTCCCCAACCTGTTTTGGTAGGTTAAGTGAAGGCATGAATTAACATCACATTTTAATATACTCGTCAGAATGGCAGAAAAGTGAAATACGTGCACTCTTGTTCACATGATCTTTCTACTAGATCCTCAGATTATCTATAAAATGTTTGTGGAAGAAATAAAACACACAAGTATTGTGTAATTATTTTATAAACTAGCACAGGTTACAGTAATTTATAGTGCATGTTGGTTCAAAAGAAAATGTTGCCTGGAAGCTAGAAAGTCTACAGTTCCTAAACGTAGAATATAAAGTACAGCAAGGTCAACACTACGAGTTACACAAATACCAACAAAGGCAAGAGAGGATCAGAATGCTAAATAACCTAGACACTTATTTTAAGGACTTGTAAGGCAGAGAATCAAGTTGGAGATGGCGAAAGATTCGCATTTGATTTTAGCCAAAAGGCCAAAAGCAATGGGGGAAAGGTTCTCATTAAAAGCAGAATCAAGAATCGCCTTGAAGTTAGAGTACTCAAGAGAGTGTGATATTGTGGAAAGAACAGACAAACAAAGCAATGAAATAGAATAGGGATTCCAAAAACAGATTCCCATGAATAGTCAATCGATCTTTTACAAAGGAACAGAGACAACACAATGGGAAAAAGGAGGATTCCAAAAATAGTTCTGGATCAATTGAACATTAACATGCTAAACAAATGAATCTAGGCATAGACTCCATAAATTCAATAGAATTAAAATGGACCACAGAAATAAATATAAAAGGCCAAACTATAAAACTCCTGGACGTTAGCATAGGAAGAAAAATGTAGGATGGAGGAGATGGCTCAGTGGCTAAAGCACTTGCCATGCAATCATGAGGACCTGAGCTCAAATCCCTAGGATCCATGTAAACTCTGGGCACAGTATCACACACCTGTAATCCCAATGCTCCTACAGCAAGATGGGAGGTAAAAAGGAGAATTCCCAGAAGCTCACAGACCAGTTAGCCTGATTTACATAGAGGTGAAAAACTGACCCTGTCTCAGCTAAGGTGGAAAGTGAAGACTAATTTTCAAGGTTGTCCTCTGATCTCCACATGTGCCCCTTGACATACACATGCCTACGCCCCCCCCACAAACACACATGTAAGCTTACACACACACACACACACACACACACACACACACCTGCATTTGGATAAAATATATTGCCTAGGGTTTACTCGTGACATATTTGTTATAATCTACTTTATGTATTTTATTTAAAAGTTCTATTATTAATTTAATTGTATGTGTAATTGCTTGATTGTACAATACCATACATACTGTATACTAATGAAATTTGGGTGATTAGCATTCCATCTTCTTATCAATCTTTAGAGACTTTCTTCTAAATCTTTATCACTATAGAAGGAAAAATTGTAAACTACAGTCACCCCAGTGGATTGAAGAGTTAGCACCTAGTGCTTCCATCTACTGTTTTGGTACCCACTCTACAACCTTACTCTAATTCCTTCTACTCTTCCAACCTTTTCTAATCCTTATTCACATTTAAATTAATGTTGTAAGCACGGTATAGTTCTGTTTCCTATTGCTGTGACAAAACACCCAGAGAAATGCAATTTAGAGGAGAAAGGGTTCATTATAGCTCACAATTCCAGGTTATATTCCATCAAAGCAGGGAGTTCACAGAGACAGAAGCTTGAAACTAGTCACATAGCATCCACAGCCTGGAACAGAGCAATGGATGTGTGTGTGCTGACTCAGCCATTTGCTTTCCCACTCATATGAAGTTCAGAACACCCTGCCTCAGGAATACTGCTACCTACAGTGGGTGTTTGCTCACCTCAAAAAAAATAAATAAATAATAATAATCCCCCACAAACATGCCCACAGGCCAACCCGATCTAGGCAATCCCTGATTAAGAGTCTCTTCCCAGGTTATTCTGCATTGTGTCAAGTTGAAAATCAACACTAAACATCAGAACATCCAAGAAAGAACATGTTCAGATGTTTTGTGTAAGAGGACAGAGTTTTTGTTTGCTAGTAGAGGACATTGGCAGAGGGTAAGATAGGGGCGGAGATGGGAGGGGGGTCTGAGTATGATCAAAATACATTGTATGAAATTCTTGAATCAATACATTTTGCTAAGTTGAAATTTTAGACTGGTGAGATGGCTCAATGAGTAGAGATGCTTGCCACCAAACTTGGTGACCTGAGCTGTATTCCCAAGACCCACATGGTGGAAGGAGAACCAGCCCCTAAAGTTGGTATCTGACCTCCTCATGCATGCTCCTCTCCAAAAAAAGTAAATTAAATGTAAGCAATATTTTTAAGTTGAACTATTTCACTTTTATATTGTTTTTAAATGGTTTTTACTTTACATATAAAATGTTTTAGGTTACAAAAAAGAAAGAACATGTCTTCCTGTGCCTAATTCTTTCACTTCTTTCCCTTAATGTATTCCAGTTCCACCCATTTTGCTGCAAATGATATCACTTACTGTTTGACTAAATATTCAGTTGTGTGTGTGTGTGTGTGTGTGTGTGTGTGTGTGTGTGTGTGTGTGTACAGATAAGAATGTAGGTTGATTACAGAGCCTAAATGTTGTTACTAGGACATGAATAAATACGAGTGTGCAAGAATATCTTTGGTGTGCTGATACCAATTCCTTAGGATATATACTCAGAAGTGGATTAAATGACCTACTTACAGTTTTTAAGGACTCTCCACACTGTCCCCCATAGGGGGATACTAATTTACATTCCAGCCAAGAGTAAGTACATAGGTTTGATCTACTCTACAACATCCTCACTAGTACCATTTTTGTCTTTTTCTATAATATTCATATTAACTGCAATGAGATCTCTCTGGCTTCGATTTTGTCTGATTATTAATGACAGTAATCTTCTTTCAGAAATTTATTGGTTGTATGAAATGCTCCCTTTCAGAAATTTCTATTCATGTAATTTGTCCATTTTAATTCAATTATTTAACTTTAAACTACATTTTGTTTATAGTTTATCAGATGATTTCTAGAAAATTTTATTCTATAAGTTGTTTCTTCATTCTGTTGATTACTTCTTTACTGTGCACAAACCTCTCAATTTGATACAGTCAGCTTGTATCAGCTTGCCTTGGTTACCTGTTATTTGTGTCCTTACCAAAGAACTAGATGTATATATTGACTTAAAGTGTTCCCCTTATGTTTTCTCCTAGTAGTTTCAGTGTTACTGTTTATCTTTTTAGTTTGTGTGTGTGTGTGTGTGTGTGTGTGTGTGTGTGTCTGTATGAACTTCTTTGTGTGTAGAGCGTTCACGCGGATGTCACAAGAGGGTGCTGGATTCCATCGAGCTCGAGTAGACATTTCTGTACCATCTCATGTGAGTGTTAGTAGCTGAAATTTGGTCCTCATGAGGGAGAAGTTCTGAGCTAGTTCTCCAGCCCTCAGTTTTACTTCTGACATTTAAGCTTTTGATCCATTTGTGACCTGACTTTTATTTGGGGTGAGAGGTAGTTGTGATTTTCTGCATGTGAAGATTCAATGTGCCAAGAACATTTTATTGAAGAGACCTCTGTTTCTCAACTGTTTTGTCACAAATATAGAGTAACTTGGCTGCAAAAGCCTGGGGTTATTTCTGTGTGCCTGGGCTGTTTAATTACTTTTAATTAATTATTTTAATTAATTTGTGTCTGTTTGCACATGTGTATAGGTCACAGGACAACACTCAGAAGTCACTTTTTATCTTTCACTTTTTGAGGCAGGGTCTTTGTTGTTCTGCTGCACTGGGTACCCACCTTCCATCTTCTGTAGATGTGCTGGATGACAGATGCATGCTACTGTATCTAGCTCTTTACATGGGTTTTGAAGTTTGAACTCATCTCATCAGGCCTGCTTTGCTAGTGCTTTTATCTTGTGAGCCATCCCCACAGCTTTGTATATCTGTTTTGATGCCAACATTATTCTCATTTTAAAGATTTATTTTCATTCATGTGTATGTTTGTGTTTGTAGTTTGTGTGTGTATGTGTGTGAGCACATGCACACACCATGTATGCTCTCCCCCCAACCCCCAGAAGCCAGACAAGAGCATAGGATCCCCTAGAGCTGGAGAAATATGTAGTGTGGTTTCTGTGAACTAAACTCAGGTCCTCTGGAAGAGCAGCAAGAGCTTTTAAGTGTTGATCTATCTACCTTCCAACCCCACATCATGCTCTTTTGATGACTCAATCTTTGTAATGTATTTTGACATTAGAAAACATGCTGCCTCCATCTTTGTTCTTTTTGCTCAAGACTACTTTGGCCATTCATTGTTTTTCTTTTTCTTCCATATAATTTGTAGGTTTATATTCTCTGGTTCTATGAAGAATATCATCAATATTTTGATGGGAATTGCACTGAATCTATAAATTAGCTTTTTAGAAACAGTATAGAGGCAAAAATCTATGAAAAAAATAGATTGATAAACTAGGTATGATTAAATTTAGATGTTTTGTTCTGGGAAAGATTAGGAGAAGACAAGCCACTTGTAAATGAAAAAAATGATAAAGGACTCAATGAAAATATCCAAAGAACACATAAAACAATAATAACCAGCAAACTAATTAAAGGATGCATCAAAGACCTCAATAGATATCTCATCAGAGAAGATATATATGTGGTAAATAAGCAGATAAAAAAAGTTCCACATCACATATTGCCAGATAAATGCAATGAAATAACATTCCATGCTAAAACAATGGCTAAAACTCAGAAAACTGACCTTATGAAATGGTGACCATGATGTGGGGAAATAGGAATTCTCACTTACTTCTGATGGAAATGCTTACTTTGGAAGACAATCACTGATTTCTTACAAAATTTAACTTATTTTCCCCTCATATTTTTCCTAAATATTTTAAAAGCACTGTATCCATAAAATGCATATATGACACATATACACACAAGTAAAAGAGAGAGAAAAGAAAGCTGGATAGCAAATTTAATCATAATTGCCAAGAGTTCGAAGCAAATAAGATGTCCTTCAGTAGGTGAATGGATGAACTGTGGTTCAACCAGACAAAGAAATGTTACAAATGAGCCGACAAGTGACAAAAAAAACAATGGTAGAATTCAAATCTACATGACATAGTGAACAAATCAAATCAGAAAAGTCCGGGTCTTGTATGTTTCCAGTAATATGACATTCTAAAGAAAAATCAAAACCATGTAGACAGAACATGTCAGTCAAAGAGGAGAAAGATGAACAAGCAGAATATGGATAAGATTTAGGAAAGTGGAAATATTCTGTTTATACTGTTATGGTGGATACATGTCATTACAGATTTATCCAAACCGAGAGCACAAATAAATGTTCAAGATTAAAACTTAGTTTAAATGAACTCTTACAAGATTCTCACTTTACATTGTTCACTTGAAATAAATATAGATAAATTTCCATAAACTTATATCTGTTCTACTCAATTATCATTATAAGAAATATACATTATATATATGTATATATATTTTGAGCTGGAGCCATATTTCTAAATGAAAATTTCACATCTTAATTTTCATTCATGTAAGCTCATTCAATATTACTTTTAGGCTCAAAATATTTATTCAGTGTCTTCTAATCTTTCTAAATGAAATTATTTACTTCCAGAAGAAAGTCACTATGAGTTTACATCCAGCATTTCAGTATCAGAAGGTAAATTGCCATGAGTCACGTCCATTTTCTGTCGCTCCCCTCAACAGACCTCTTCAAACTCATAAAAACTAAATTAACATTTATAATAGGAAAACCACCAAGTAAGCTCATAACAGAAGAAAACATACAGAAAAATAAACTGTTTCCATGTTAGTAAAATGGGCAATTCTAAAGAAAGCACATCTTTTTGGTTCCTCACCTGAGAAAATACAGATAGTAACCCCACAGGTTATGTGGAATGTCCTGCTTTTGTCTAATAATCTTCTTGTTCTCCTGCTTGGAACCTGCATACAAATGAGTCAATACAGTAAGAGTGCTGCAACCCTGAAATACGCACAACGTTTCTCACTGCAGTGTTGCTCATGACATCAAAAACTTGGAAATACAGCAAAAATCTGTTAGCCAATAGCGAGTGAATTACAGCATGTCTCACTGAAGCCATTAAAATGAACACAAGAAGGTATGTTATTCACTTGAAAATATTTGGAAGACATGTTGTTAGGTGAGAAGCATCAAATACACTGTGATTTTCTACCATTCCAAGTGAATGCCATTGTCTGCTGACAGCTCTCCTGACATTTGTCCTCAGCCATCACATCAGCTGTTTGGTCAGAGCACAATTAGGGGAACGTTTCTTTTATTATTTGCCATATTTCTGAAAAGCTTGAATTTCATAAAATGTATGATTTCCTCTGTGTTCCAAAAATAAGATTATTTTTAATGAACACTGTTCTCATCTATGATTTTTAAATGCCTGCTTGATCTTATAGAAAAATAAACATCAAAAATATTTGAATATCTGTGCTTCACACTGGGGAACAACTCTTTAAGACCTTTTACATACTGAGACAGTATGCTGAGAACTTTTCACTTCCTGCCACTTACCTTTCTTTTTTCATGCCAAATGAATGGCCAGCCACAGGGATCAAATTCTAGCTTTTAACAATGGTAGGCAACCTAGGGAATGTTATTTGCACAAATGACTGCATTAAGATAAAGAGTTTCCAAATATAATTACATGAAAAATACTGAGAAGTTTTCCTAGAGTAAATCTGCAGTACAAACTTTATATATAATGGGAGCAACTTCAAACCAAAAACGCCTCTTAAAACACAGTCATCAACTTATGCATGCTTAATTGTTTTAGTAAGGAATAAGCACATACTCACCCAATATGTGCACGGTCACACATGTAAAAAGAATAATCAAAGCCAAATTAAATTTAGTTAAGTTTTCCTAAAAGAATGGGAAAGTGTTTTTGTTTCTTGCTTCCTTCACTTCACTATGGGAATATTCTAAATGATAACCACTGTTCAATCGAGTCATCTTTTAGCCCACTGTACATCTCAAAGTGAGCATGTGTATCAAGTGAAGGTAAGCTGCCAGCAAGAGCAGTCATTCTATGTGTATTCAAAGGCCACAGGTCTCTTGGTTGCATAGCTGGATTTTGTTAAGTGAAAACAGGGATCTGGGTGAGGTAGGATAACTTAGAAAGAGCTCAGAACAGAGATTAATTTCAGCCATGCCATTCACTCGTCTCTAATCTTGGTCACGCCATGCTCTCTATGCCTCAGGTCATCTTGTATAAAATGGACCAGGAATATCTGATTGCAGAACTCTTGTGAGGAGTCATGAATATGTTCGTGAAGTGCTGAGCAAATACCTGAAAGCAGTGCTCATAAGTCTACAATCCCCATCTGGTTTTGCAGAATACCCTTCTGCAATGTGCCTCTTACCATCACTGAGATGAAATCTTCTAAATGAAATCAGTTCATAAAAGCTACAGGAGTACGAACATGTGAGTATTACACTTGATCTCCTGCCAGACCTTGTGAATAGGAATTTTTGTCATACCTTCTGTGATCCTCGAAGATAAGCCAGGAGTGTCCGGCACATGGGTAAAAGGATGAGGCCGCAGTTGAAGTTCAAGACAGAGGCAGAAGCTCTGCTTAGACACAATGCTAACTGAACAAATGAGACAAGAGTCAAAACACAGTCAAGTAGAAATGAAAAGTAACCCCAGCCAGCACTATGCAAGTCTCACCCAACTCGCTCTCTCTGTCTCTCTGTCTCTCTCTCTGTCTCTCTCTCTCTCTCTCTCAACCAATGTAAACACCCAGTCCTTGCACAGTCTCAACAGTCCTTTTTTTCTAAAGCCCCCTGAGAAAAACTAGCTTCTTTCTGCTCTGAATGGTCATAATACACTTTTCTTATTTCTACTGGTGATACAATTGCTTCTGTGATTCTTCCACATCAAGGTCAATGTCTTGCTATCTTTCATTTTATCTCCTGGGTTTTAGATTTCCATAGTCTTGGCACTATGTGTTCTGTGCCTACACAATAGGGTGGTAATAGAATCTGTGTTCACTAATAAGCTCACATGAGTTCTAAGTGAAATCTCATTTGTGTTCTCTCCCTTTCTTTGGAATCCTCTCTTGGTTTCTGCAGGGCTTGCTCGCTTACACAGCACACCTGTCTCTAACCCCTTCTCCTCAGTAACTGTACTCATTTTGAGGTTTCACATTATACTCTAGTCCTCTTGAGTACTTTCTGACTTGAAAATGGAAGATCCCAACATTATAAACACTCTCAGTGCTTTTGTACTATCCTATGATGTCTTTTAACACTCTCTCCAGTCACCTATTTTTATTTTTAATTGACAAGTATTGTACATATTTATATGAAATATTTATATGATCATACATGGTAGAATGATCAAGCTAGGCTAATGAAATGCACCACCTCATGATCATTATCAAAATGTATCATTCCTGTACTAAGAACATTACAATTCTACCCTCTCCTCTGTATTGTGAAACACATATTATTATTAGTTATCATCATATTGTGTAAGTGGAGATCAGAACTTGCTCCTCTCATCTACCCTTCAACTAATATGCTCCCTTCCTGATCCACCAACGCCAACCCCTGCTAATCCTCACCCTGCTCAGTGCTTCTTTGAATTCTACTATTTTAGATTTCAGATATAAGTGACATCATGTTATTTCTCTTTTGGGCCTGGTTTATTTCACTAAGCATTGCGTCCCCTAGGATCAGTATGTAGGTGCAATTATGCATATCATGCCTTCTGTAATACATAAGGAACATAATTACAGTGTTTTTAGTAAAAGAAAATAATAAAGAAGACAGTGCCTTGTAAAACAGTGATTCATTTATTTGAGTGTACCTTGGAACAAACACAGCCTTTAGTTTTTGTTTCCTGTTCTCATATGCTTGTCTCCTGTTATTTTTGGTCTTTGGTTTGGGAATACCATTTCTGCTTGGTCACTGTTAAAATATTTCTATGTAAGAATAAATAAAGAATGATATAGAATAGATACTTTAGATATTTTTACTGGTCATACACAATTTGGTCACTTTACATTTATAAGCATATTAAACTTCCTTTGAAACTTCAGGAAGTAAATAATGTAAATTCTCTTCTATATGGGAAAATATTGTGTCATTCTGAAATGAAGATTTTGTCCAACAACAACAAAAAACCCAAAATCAGAGTTATTGAGCCAAAATGCAAATCCAAAGACTGGCTCAAGCATATGTTCAACTAATCACTACTTCACAGTGCTTCTATAATTTGGCTTCAAATAAAGCTCATGGCAGGTCATACATATTTTGTTTGACTGATTAGTGAATGAACATTGCAAGCACCAGTTTTAGACAACTGCCCTATAAGTGTTCTCTCCTAACAGCCCTTTCCATCTGTAAAAGACCTCGTTCTTATTCTTTAATCATTAAAGAAAACTAAGGCACAAATATTTAAGCAATTTTAGAGAAAGCCACAACATATTCATTAACACTTCCCACATAGTGTGGTGGAGATAGGATTTCTGGCACACTTATTCTGTTGCTTCCATTCAAAATACGACAAGTTATTTTTGACTTCTTGTGCTTTCTCATTTTTCTCTTATAAATGGCAGTCTCCTTAAGAGTATGAGATTTCTGAAATGCTTTAAGATCACCTTACATTTTATTTTAGTTTATCACTTCATCGATTGCTATGGAATAGATTTTTAATGTAATCCTTAGGTGAAGTATGTAGTATAGGGTGAGATAACATTATTGTCATCTCAGAAATGAAGCACTGATACAAAATAATAAACAGATCCACAGCCAGAAATCCTCATTTCAGTGGCTTGGGATAGTTTCTGGATACCACTTCTGAAATCTTTCCAAATGATTCTAATATGTAACCTGAACTGAGAGCCCCAGTCTTGAGATAGTTAGCTAAACTGCACTGTTTATAAGTCGTGAAATTAAGACAAATATTAAATTAGAGCAAGTAGATGTAATTGTATATTCCCCCAAAGTTACTGAGTAAACTTAGCTTTAAAGTTTAATTTTCATTAGAAACATGAAAATAATTATTTTAAATGAACATAAATTAAGAACGGACAATAACAATCTCAACTCTTTAAAGTTAGCACAGTAACCACTGCCTCACCACTTCAGCCACCATTCATGATGCTTTTCTGTGATACCATGAGCTGACCATTTTAAAGTTTTTGATAGTCACAGGCTTCATGAATAAAATCACCATAAAAACTATAAGTATAGGAACCACGTTTAGTGTTGTAACTGAATGGTTTAGAACAGGTTGTCTCAGTGAATATAAGATGTCTCCCAAACTTTCTACCTCTAAGCTAGAAACTATTTCATTCATTTTGCAGATGATATCTCTAACCATTTGAGAAAGTGCATATCTTGTCCCAAACCACAGAACTATAAGAGATGAATTTGTATCACAGACTGTATGATTCTTTTCACCTCAGGTTAAAAAATAGCGGGAAAAAAAGCATCAAAGGACATGGCGGGAAAGAATTAAAAGAAATGGAACTAACTTCTTCCAATAGCTCCCCTGAGCCATATACATTACATCTCAATTGCCAGTACAATCTGCTAGCCAAATTGAGATCTTGAATTTCATCTCCCATCAAGCCTGCTTGATTCACTGCATTCTTTGGATATGAGTTACTCCTGTGGTCCTGGCCAGCACCTCCTCTTCAGTTAGTATACTCATTAATGGACTTGTGTCTGATTAATTTTCAAACTTTTGAGTTTCCTCTACATTTTCTTGATTATCACAAGACCACTCACGGAGAAACAAATATACTTTAAAATTCTAATCTCTCCTTATATCTGGCTCTCAACAATAGGATCTAAGATTACAGAAACTGACCTTTTTTCCTACTAGTTCTCCAAATCCAGGTTGTTTCTAAGAAGCAAGGTCCTGTCTTTTGTCCAGCATTTTATCCTCAGACTTAACATAATCATAGCATTCAGTAAATGAAAAATTGAATTGAATCTTCAAAGATATGAGCATTCTGATAGCCATGTATTCAGCTACAACACTAAACTTGGTTCTACACTTAAAGTGTTTGTGGTGACTTTACTCATGAAGCATGTGACTATCGATAACTTTAAAATGATCAGGTCACTGTATCATAGAAAAGCATTATGAATAGTGACTGAAAACCCCATTATTAACAGAAGATTAAGTCTCTCTGTCTACATGAAATACAGGATTACATATAGAAAGGAGAAATACAGATTTTTAAAAACTGTGAACTTTATGAGCACTCGTTTGTCCATTACTATTACTCCCAGAATTCATATGCAAATCTACCCATCAAAATGGCACTAAATAAACCTTCTGTAAAGTGACAGAATGAAAAAAAATAAATTCAGGTAAATAAATTTCATATATATAAGTACAAATGTTTTACTAATGGATCTCTTAAATATTAAAAATGTAGTCTCAAAGAAAATATTTAAAAACAGCAAGTTTGTGAGACAAGGAAAAGAGAAATGAAGAGAATAGATTCTTGAATAGATTCTTAGTACAGAATAGTTTGTGTCACAGGCCTTGAAATCAGATATACTAGATTAAAACTATTGTCTTTCCCAAGGTATGGTAAAATCATTTATATTTTCTAATCTGTGCCTTAGTCATCTGCAAAGATAGAAAACAGTATCATCATAAATTACTGTAAAATATTCACAAGAAGTTTCTTACTCAATAAATTTTATTATTATAAAAATTTGTTTTATTCTGTTGTTTGAAGAAGGAGGAAGAAAGGAAAGAAAGAAGGGAGACAGAAAGGGAAAGTAGAGAAGAGAAATTTTAAAGGTATCTCTGGAAATTTGTTGCATCACTTGATCCTTCATTGAACTCCAGTGTTTCTTAAAATGAAAAGAGAAAAACTGAAGAAGGAAAGGTGAACCATGAAGCGCTATACATATTCTATCCTCTCACTGTGTCAAACGCTCATCTGTAGTCCCTATGAAGGCAACCTGAATTTTCTGTCCATTCATGATCATTAGATTGAACAGCTATTAAATTAATATAATTATAGTGTAATTATTTTCAAATATCAATAAATAAGTAAACTACTCACTAAGCCATTCCCCACTTCTCTCTCTCTGTCTCTCTATCTCTCTCTCTCACACACACACATACATACACACACTCAAACATAAATAAATCTCCAAGTTTTAATTAATTTAACTAGAACTTGCAAAGATTCTTATTACTTACTGAATATATTTTGCAAGTGGGATTATGATTATGGAACTTAAATTATGGTCATTATCTTAAGTCACTCTGGTGGATGTAGTGAAATTTAAATTTTCACCCAGTGAAAATTTAAGAAGTGTTAACTTCTTCCCATTGGAAGGAATGGACATTGGACAAAAAAGGATGTCAAAGAAAAATGGGTGAGGGAGTGCTCCCATGCACACAGATTTGCTGTCTCTGATATATTCATAATCTAAGTAGCAGTGAGATGCTTTTGGAGTTAAGAGAAGCCTTCATTGACAATAGAAAAAAAAATGAAATCAATCCTTCTCTGAAAAGACAGTAGTTTCTCAACAGCCTATATAACCTTATAAGCAGACTCTTCCCAGAGCTCCTCAGGAGCCCAACTAGGGCTCCCAACTAGGACCAC